GCCTCCCCCAGGCGTGGAAAAGAGAAGGGGTCGGAACCTTGGGACTACTGCTTTTCAAAGGCTGAGGCCAAGCACTCATCTACGGGATGACAATGTTTGGAAAAACATATGAATGTACAGGAAGAAAAAATAAAAAATGTTAACTAACAGTGGTTCCCTCTGGATGGAGGAAAAGCAATTTTTTTTTTTTTTTTTCCCTTAAAGGGCAGAGAGGAGAAAAGCCACCAAGCTGAGACCTCCTAAAGGTCATATGTCCCCAAACTAGCTGAGCGCAGACCAAGGCCCCAGCCACAGTAAATCCCCCAGGTAAATGGCACTTGCACATTACGTTAGCTAGCCCAGGTGACAATGTCAAGGTGAAAGAAAATCCATCCTGGTATTTAATAGAAAATCAAGCCAAGGCGGAAATCAGCACAAACAAGCTTTTTAGAAAAGGCAAGTGAACCTGGAGCAGGGCCCAGGTTTTATTGATAGAAGGCTAGGTCCTGCCCACTTAGGCTGAAGCGCACAGACAGGCCTGTCCAAGGCAAACACAGCAGCCCCCCCGGCTGGAGCAAACCCCACTCTAGGCTGTTTGCTGACTGGGGGCTGTTCCACACCCACAGGGGACTCTTGGCTCCTTCTATGTGTTTCTATGTGGCCCCTTCTATATGTCAGTGTGGTTCTGCTCTAGACACAGCTGTGATTTGACTTGCCAGAGGGTCCCCAACAGAGGGAAAGGGGGTCATTCTGCTTCCAAATACTCAGACTGGGAAGCACCTGTTCACTGCTGACATTTCTGAGGATGAGACGATGTACATGGCAAACCCCAGGCCTTGCTCTGGGCCTATTGCCCACCATACCTGGGAGCTGGCTAAGCAGCTCTAGGGCAGGGTTTCTCAACCTCAGCACTGGTTTTGTGTGTGTGTGTTTTTAATTTATTGATTTGAGAGAGAGAGAGAGAGACATCGATTTGTTGTTCCACTTATTTATGCACTCATTGGTTGATTCTTGTATGTGCCCTGACCAGGGATCAAACCCTCATTGGGGCGATGCTCTATCTAACTGAGCTACCCTGCCAGGACTTGGCACTGTTGACATTTTGGGTCAGATGACTCTGCTGTAGGGACCTTTTCTGAGCACTGTAGCATGTTTAGCAGAATCCCTGGCCTCTACCCACTAGATGCCAGCAGCCCCTTCCAGTTGTGGCAATGAAAACCATCTCCCAGAAACTGCCAAATGCCCCTGGGGGAAAGGAGCCAAATCACCCCCTTTTCAGACCTGCTGCTTTAGAAGAAGGAATAGAGGAGACGGGAGGGGGTACCCAGGAAGTAGTGTGCGGAGCAGGCTCCGGGTTGAGGGATGGGTAGAGTAGAGGGGAACAGAAAGAAGAGAGACTTGGAAGCTCCCAAATGGGACAAGAAAGTGGGGAAATAGAGCTGAAATAAGGTTTTTAGGAAATGTTGCTATATGGTGTGCTATGTGACCTCCCTTCTCCACCTCCTAAGGAATACCTTCAGCAAAAACCTGCATCATTCACCAGACTTCAGGAGTCAAATTTGTGTCCCCACCTTTTCCTGCCCCTCCACCTGGATGAACAGGTTCTGGCTAGGGACAAGGCCCTTCCAAGAGTCTGGGCTACATTCAGGCCACATCATATCAGCTACTGTTTCAAAGTGTGTGGTGGATATACAGAATTTTAAAATATATATTTTAGAACAGATTCAATATCATTTTTATAAAACATGCATCATATTTGCTTTCTAGTAGTGCCTTCCCAGTGGGAGAAAAAGGCCTGGGGGAATAGCTGAGAGGCTGGTAATACCCATGGGCAGGTTGGATGATTGAACATCACTGACCATGTGCATCAAAGTCAGAAAAAGCATGTGGATGGCTATTCTGGAGACTTGGGGGCTGAACCCCAGACTCCCCAGGCTCTCTCAGATTCTCCTTAATAACCAGTTATCCAGTATCTGTATTGTCTCTCACAGTACCTGGGCTTTTCCCTGATAAATATGGGGCTTATCTGTTTAAAGTCTTGCTTCCCTACTCTACTGCAAGCACTGGGAGGGCAGGGGTCATATCTGTTTACTTCATCATTAAGTCCCTGGCATTCCTGGGCCTGCACATGGTCAACATTCAAAACATATTTGTTAAATGAATGGCATCCTGGAACACTCTTTACTTCCTTGACCAGCAACATTTGACTCATACATTAAGACTCAGAGCAAATGTTACCTCCTTTGGGAAGTCCTCCCTAATTTCTCCCAACAGAAACAATTGCACTGTGGACTCAAAACACTTGATTCATACCTTTATGGCAATATGCATCACAGTATATACTATTTGGTTGTATTCCGCCTCCCCTGCCAGAGTGTGAGCTCCTTGAGGATAAAAACAGTGATGTATCATTTATCATCCTTACTCGCCCCAGTACTTGGCACATACTAGATACTCAATAAATGCTTGTTCAATGCAAGAGTCAAACAAAATGCTCTCCTGTCACCCTTCCAAATCCTAGACATCAAAGTTCAGACACATCCTGGTTCAGGTGCCTTGGCAAAGCCCAGAACCAAGAGCTGCTTTGGGTATCAAATTTCCTAGTCCTTTAACAGGGGAAAAATACCTGCCTCGCCCCTCCAAAGTGGATCTGGCCTGGCTGGTGGCCCCGTATTCCCACTGCCCCGGGGCTATGAGGCCCCAAAGGATCTTCAGGAGTCTTCTCTGGGACACACCTCACTCCACACCCCACCTCCACCCATACCCCCACCTCTGGCTTAAAGCCCGAGGCCAACGCAGGCTGTGTGCAGGGGACTGTAGACTTCTCTCTCTGTCACTGTTCCTGTTCCTCTCCCCAGTCTCTTGGAACGGGGTGTGTGATACTGGGATTTATAATAAATATATATATTTGGTCTTTGTCTCCATTTGAGGCACAGAGCTCTTAAAACCCTAGGAATTTCCTGAGCAATGAGAGCAACCAAGGTGTCTCTTGTTATGTTAATGAGGTAACTTTTGGACCCTACCTAAAGATGGGTGCTAGTTGCTAGCAGAACCCACCAAGTGATTAGTGTTGGACCTTTCAGCCCCACCCCGACCTCCAGGAAGGGAAGAAAAGGGGGAGGTTGAATCAATCACTAATGGCCAATGATTCAATCAATCACGCCTATGTAACGAAGTCTCCATAGAAACCCAAAGTACAGGAATCAGAGAGCTTCTGGGTTGGTGAACATGCGGAGATTCAGGGCGAGTGGGGCATCTAGAGGGGGCATGGACGCTCTGTGCCCCTTCTCGCATACCCTGCCCTACGCGTCTCTCCCCTCTGGCTGTTCCTGTGTCATATCTTTTTATAATAATCTGTTAAGTAACTGTTTCTCTGTGTTCTGTGAGCTGCTCTAGCACATTAATGAAATCCAAGGAAGGAGTTGTGGTAACCTCCAATCTATAGCTGGTCGGACAGAAGCCCAGGTGATCACCTGGACTTGCGATTGGCATCTAAAGATTTGGGGGAGGATGAAGCTGAACTGTAAGACACCCAGCTGGTATCAGAGAATTGCTTTGGTGGTGTGGGAAAAAAACACACACGTCAGAACTGGATGCAGAACCAGAATGTGTCTGTCAACACATCTGGCCAGAAGGGGACCCCAACATCCAGCACATGTGGATACTCATGCCCCCTCCTGCTCACCAGCGCTCCTGGAGAGACAGTGGAGTCCAGGGCACCTGCAAAGCAAAAGCTGGACCCAGCCAGGTTCCAAGCTTTGCTACCTACCTGGTCAGAGGTCGGAGTGAGGGTGCTTTCTGGAGAAGGTCTGTCCCGGAATCGGCCTTCCTGCTGACTGCAGTCCAGCTGGATCAGATTGCGGCACTCGGGGTGGCAGGTGAATTTACAGTCTGGAGGGAAAGAAACCACAGGGGGATTAGGGGCCAGGCTTCCCAGAGAAAAACCATGGGGGGTAGCATTTAGCTCCAAGAGGGAAAAACATGCAAGAGAGAAGTGGAGGGTGGGTGAGTGATGCCCTGCTCCCCATGCCATTGCAAATGGTGAACATTAGCAGGCGCTTGCCAGGCACACCTCAGAGGTATTGCAGGTTTGGTTCCAGATCATGGCGAAAAGGCAAATTTGCAATAACGCAAGTCACACAAAATTTTTAGTTTCCCAGTGCATATAAAAGTTATGTTTACACTATCCTATAATCTATTAAGTGTGCAATAGCATTGTGTCTAAAAAACAATGTATATACCTTAATTAAAAATACTCCATTGCTAAAAAATGCTAACCATTATCTGAGTCTTCAGTGAGTTGTGATCTCTTAGCTGGTGGAGGGCCTTGCCTCCAGGCTGATGGCTGCTGACTGATCAGGGTGGTGGCTGTTGAAGGCCGGGGTGGCTGTGGCAATTTCTTAAAATAAACCAGTGGAGTTTGCCACACTGACTGACTCTTCCTTTTACAAAGGATTTCTCTGTAGCATGTGATGCTGTTTGACAGCATTTTACCCACAGTGGAACTTCTTTCAAAATTGGAGTCCGTCATTTCAAACCCTGCTGCTGCCTTATCAGCTAAGTTTATGTCATATTCTAAATCCTTTGTTGCCATTTCAACAGTCTTCACAGCATCTTCACCAGGAATAGATTCCATCACAAGAAACCACTTTCTTTGCTCATCCATAAACAGTTTGATCATGAGATTGCAGTGATTCAATTCCATCTTCAGGTCCCACTTCTAATTCTAGTTCTCCTGCTATTTCCGCCACATTAGCAGTTACTTCCTCCCCAAAGTCTTGAGCCCCTCAAAGTCATCCATGAGCACTGGAATCAACTTCTTTCAAACCTCTGTTAATGTTGATATTTTGACCTCTTACCATGAATTACAAATGTTCCTAATGGCATCTATAATAGTGAATCCTTTCTAGAAGTTTTTTTTTCCTACTCTTTTTTAAAAAAACTTTTCTTTATTGTTGAAAGTCCCCCTTTTCCCCCCATTAACCCCTTCTACCCCGCACCCTCCCCCCACCCCAGGCCTTCACCACACTGTTGTCTGTGTCCATGGGATAGGCATATAAATTCTTTGGTTAATCTCTCCCCACCCACCCTCTCCTTCCCTCTGAGATTTGTTAGGCTGTTCCATGCTACTATGTCCAGGTTTTCAACTTACTTTGCCCAGATCCATCAGAGAAGCACTATCTATGGTGCTATAGCCTTATAAAATGTGTTCTTAAACAGTAAGAATTGAAAGTTGAAATTACTCCTTCATCCATGGACTACAGGATAGGTGTTATGTCAATAGGTATAAAAACAACATTAATCTCATTGTACATCTCCATCAGAGCTCTTGGTGCCCAAGTGCATTGTCAATAAGCAGCATATTTTGAAAGGAATGTTTTCATCTGACAGTGGGCTTAAAATATTCAGTAAACCATGTTGTAAACAGATGTACTGTCATCCAGGCGTTCTTGTTCCATTTATAAAGCACAGGCAGAGTAGATTTAGCATAATTCTTAAGGACCCTAGGATTTTTTGGTAAATGAGCATTGGCTTCAACTCAAAGTCACCGGCTGTATTAGCCCCTAACAAGAGAGTCAGCCTGTCCTTTGAAAATTTGAAGCTAGCCATTGACTTCTCCTCTTTAGTTGTGAAACTCGCAGATAGACTCCTCTTCCAACAGAAGGCTGTTTCATCTACCTTGAAAATCTGTTGTCTAGTGTAGCCACCTTCGTTAATTATCTTAGCAGGATCTTCTGGATAACTTGCTGCAGCTTCTACATCAGCACTTGCTGCTTCACCTGCACTTTTATGTTATGAAGACAGCTTCTTTCCTTAAACCTCATGAACCAACCTCTGCAAGCTTTAAACTTTTCATCTGCAGCTTCCTCACCTCTCTCAGCCTTCATAGAACTGAAGAGAGTTGGGGCCTTGCTCTGGATTAGGCTTTGGCTTAATGTAATGTTGTGGCTGGTTTGATCTTCCATCCAGACCACTAAAATTTTCTCCACATCAGCCATAAGGCTGATCCACTTTATCATTTGTGTGTTCACTAGAGGAGCACTTTTACTTTTCTTCAGAACCTTTCCTTTGCATTCACAACTTGGCTACCTGCTTGGCACTAAAGGCCCAGCTTTCAGCCTATCTCGGCTTCCAACATGCCTTCCTCACTGAGCTTAATCATTTCCAGCTTTTGATTTAAAGTGAGAGACATACAACTCTTCCTTTTACTTGAATATTTAGAGGCCAGTGTAGGGTTAGTAACTGGCCTAATTTCAATGTTGTTGTATCTCGGAATAGCCCGAGAAGGAGAGAGATGGGGGAACAGCTGGACACACACAACATTTATTGATTAAGTTCACTGTCTTAGGGTATGGTTCATGGTACCCCAAAATAACTACATCAAAGATCATCGATCATAGATCATCATAACAAATATAGCAATGATGAAAAAGTTTGAAATACTGAGAGAATTACCAAAATGTGACCCAGAGACATTAAGTAGGCCAATGCTGTTGGTGCCAACAGACTTGCACAAGGTTGTCACAAACCTTCAATTTATAAACCACACAATATCTGTGAAGAGAAACAAAGCGAAGCACAATAAAATGAAGTGTGCCTCTACACATTTGCAGACCGGTTTTACCTCCATTATTTTGTGTGACCCTGCAATCATTATTATTATCACTTTACAGACAGGAAATTGGGGCTTAGGGGCCTTAGTGACTTTCTCAAGGTCAAATCATCTGGCTTCAGACTGGTGTTCTTTATACTAATTTACATTAATCTGATCACCAGGGACCATGGATCCTTGGGGAAGGACTTAACTCTTCTGGGACTCGTTTTGCCCATCTGTAAAATATGGGCACAGCAGCCCTGCCCAGTGCACAGGGATGTTTATAGTTTTAGGGGAGAATGGGTCTTCACAAATTAAAAGTGCCTCCAAAGACACAGGCACTGTCATCAGCAGCAGGAAGGGTTACTACCTGTCTCTGACCTGCCTCATCTAGAAGTGTGGGGACGGCCTCTCTAAGGCAGCTGAAGTGGCCTACAGACAACATCCCAAATCATTTGTTTCAGGGCCGAAAGCACGAGTTTCATAGACAATGTCCACTTTGAATCAGGACTTAACGAGCCTTGGGGAGTACATTAGAGATGGGGAAACTGAGGCCCAGAGAGGTAAAGCGAGGTGCCCAATGACACACAGCTCTGTTCTTTAAGGGCTCGCTCTCTCTGGAGCCTCCTTGGCAGAAGAGAGGTAAAGTTGAAGAGGCAGGGGGGGACTGGGTGAAGTGGGCAGGACTTGCAGCAGGGGACACACAGCCTGGACTTGTTTGGATGACCTGGTCGCTAGGGGACTTTTGATTCATAAGGGCTTAGGCGTCGGACACTTTTCCTTTACTTTAACAAGCTCCAAAAAATTTAGCATATTTAGACTCTCTTTAAAGCTGTCATGCACTCTATGTCAGGGTGGGAATGGGTCTCTTCTTCTCTCTTTTGGGGAGTTGTGGAATACAACCTCCCTCTCCCTAGCTGCCCCCTTCCCTAATACCTCCAAAGATAAGCACCGGGGCCACATTCCTTCTATAGGTTTTGCCACTAATGTCTGCAGGGGAGCACCCTGACAAATGCAAGGACACGCAGAGATTCCCGAATCCTCCAACCTTCTGAAGCTCCCCACTACATCTGGGATGGCAGGGGAGTTCGCTGCTCATCTCCCATATGCCTGAAAATGAGGCCCACTGATGGGACGTCACACCCCACCCGTCTAGGCCTTCCTGGCTCTTCCTGGAAGCCGTCCTCTCACCTGGAGCTGGAATGGGTGAAGCCAGCTCTCTGGGGCACGCACCATACACCTGCAAGCGCCCACGTGCATTTCTGGGTCCCACAGTGGGCGATCTCTGCCTGGCACAGGGACAGCCTCACCCTTGGTGCGGTGAAGGGCCCAGGGGGATGTGCAGGCCAAGTCTCCCCTGCCCGCAGCACCCAGAGTCGCCAGGGCTTTGATAAGGCAGCACGGGGGCCAGAGCCCACACAGAGCAGCATTGTTCAGGCCCCGCTCCTGGGACACACCTGTGCAGCTCTGGCCGCGCTCTAAGCATGAAGAATGTTCTGGGGGTGCCAAGGAGCGGAAATGAGGAGGAGGAAGAGCTGGAGGCTCTCCCAGCTTCACAGCAGGCAAGCACTGCCACCAATTCACAGATGGCAACGCGTCTGGGAGAAGCGGACGTCCTCCAGCCTCCTCTTTCGGCAGCTTTACTGCTGACACAGGCACTCCATGGCCATTGGTGCATCTGCTTTTCTCAGTTTCCCTCTTCTGCTCCTTGCCTCTCTCCCCTCACTCTGTCTCTCTCTGACATTCTCCCCCCCCACCCCCCGTGAAAACAGCACCCAAACCTCAGAAAGATATTTTTTTAATAGGCCTTGCTGCTGAGCTTTACAGAGCTAGGAAACAGGAGATTCCAAGATTTTAAAAAAGCATCCTTGAGCACCAATGACTCTAGTCCAATAGACCATGTATCACAGACTGGAGCAAACCACCAGAGAGCATCCTCATAGTTCCCAGCTCCTGGGAAGGCCAAGTGTGGGCTTTCAGGCCAACGGAGGTGAAGCCAGAGCCACCATTCCTGTCTCCAGACACCACAGCAAGCCCCACAGGCCACAGCAGGTACCTACTACGCTCTGAGTGGGAATACTCATGAGATTCCTATGGCAGGGCTGTGCTCTATTGGGACCCAGTGGTTAACCCCCTGCAGGTCATCTCTCCTTCAAGGAAGCTCATCACAAGGTGCTGCTAAGCCAACCCTGCCCTTGGCATCCATGGTGCTCCAGAGCCTCAGCTCGTTCTCAATCTGGGCGAGAAGAGAGGGAGGGACATGGTGGCTCAGGGCCACATGGGCCTCAGGAAGGGC